AATTTCTGTTTCAATTTTTTTTGTGATTCTGATTGTGAAGCTGGCCAGGGTACGTGCGGCAGCTGGTGCCCCTTTTGGGATTGCTTTCTATATGTATGTAGTCTATGAATTGGTATTGGGTTCAGGCTGGGCAGGCAGGGTGTGCAGATACGCAACAACAGATATGGGTAATTTTTTGGCAGCCGTGCGAGCGTTTCTATTCAAAAGTTGTTTAATGCGTAAAATTTTAATTTTTTTATCGCCGTTTGTTGTTGTTGTTACTGTTGTTATTGTTGTGCCACGTTGGTGGCGGAAATTGTGTCAGCATTTGACAAAAGAGTTAAAAAGTTGTGGGAAAGGCAGATGCAAGCATCACAAGATTGACTGATGATGCCGAGGTGTGAATGGATCCTCAGAGGCTGGACTGACAAAGGAGCACCATGCGGGGCACTGTATATGAATATATATGTGAAATTATATACCAGCTCCAGCCACTTCTAAAGAGAGAGGATTGTTGTTAACTGTAGATCTAGTTTAGATATATTTACAAGCCATGAATTGCTGATAAAGCAAAGCTTTTAATCTCTGGCTGACTTCCGGCGGTGCTAAATCACTTCAAGAACCTTTTACGAAATAGTCTCTGATAGAGCTACGCCCCAGCTACGCCCCAGCCCAGAAGTTGCTGTCAAACCAAGCAAATGTAATGCTATTAAAAGCAAACCAGCAAAAATACCAAACAACAACAACGACAACAAAAAATGCTTTCACATTACAGAGAAACTCTCATGAGAAACTGTCGGCCAGCCAAATGAAAATTGTCTAATTGTGCGTGGTAAGATAACAAACAGGCAACGGCTAGAGGGCCAGAGCTTCCTGTTATTGTTATTGCTATTGTTCCTACTCCGTCTGTTGTTGTTGTTGTTGTTGTTGTAGCACATTTCATCAATGTAAATAAGCAAAATTGGGCGACAGCAGCAACAAAGATAATCGCCTTAGTAGCAAAAGCGAAAAGTGCACTCCAGGTCATCGATGTGAATGTGGCATTAAGGCCGCAATGACAACAACAAGCTGCCACACATCCAGAGAGAGAGAGAGAGAGAGTGTGTGTGTGTGAGCAACCCCTCGTTGCTTTAAAACTGTAACAATTGGCAATTGTGTGGGTCTTGCGGCTTGACAAACGCTAAGCGTAGAGCACCGAACGCCGAACCTTTGAGCACGCTGAGCGGAAAGGATAACACGCACTTCTGAGGCTGCCCCACGCCATGAAAGTTAATTTACGTCACGCAGCATTTTCAATCAATGTCAGAGACCGGAGGGGGGTTAGCTGAGGCCGCCGAAGGGTTGCGGACGCAGGGACCGAGTGTAAGGGCTGGTCGCTCGCCCGCTGTTCTTGTTTATTTGCATTTTGGCAGCTAAGGCAATCAAATTGATCTCGTTTTATTTTGATTTGCATTTAAGCGACACTTGACGACTCTCGAATGTAAATACGCGCACAGACCTTTGGCATATTTTCATAGCTGACAACGCAGACATTTATCGCCTGGTTTGGCTCTTTAATTGCGCATTAACTGTTGCGCCAAAAGGCGAGCGGAGCCAAAATGGAAAATTATATGAAAAATACAGACGTCGAGATCCGTCATCAACGCCATCATCATCAGCAGCATTTTGGGCAGGTCACAGAGCAAAGCACACGAACACAACACAAAGATATACAAATATTTTTTAATTGAATGCAATGCGCTGCGCGCGACGCTGGACGTTGATGAGGGTGCCCTATAATTATATAGACCCAAAGACTAACTCTAAAAAAAAAAACTGAATCGAAACTGGCTGACACGAAGCTGTCTGTGTTTTGTGCTGCCCGAGTCGAGTCGACTCAACTCAACTCGACTCGACTGACTTGTGGCTTTCCACCAACTAATTGCTGGGATTATTTATTTATGGAAATCTATCTAGCCAAAAGTCGTCGCGTTGACGCCCCTAACAATTTCGATTATGATGAGGCCAGTAATTAAGCGGAGCAAAGCGGCAGACAGAGCCTCGAACGCTCCTAACTATGTGAAACTCCAGCCTCGATTGACACTCTTCTAGTTCATCAGAAAGCGATTACAACTCGAATACTTTACATATAACTTGGGATGGTTTATCAATTAAGAGTTCTTATGCAGTTTCTTATTAAACTAAATTGGCCGCTTTAATAAATATTATATGTGAGTATTTATTAAA